CCCGGACATCAAAGCGACTCCGCAAAGTTCATCCGCCCCATCGGGCCTCCCAGGAGCATTGATTCGCCATGTCGTACACCGTGTCGATCCCCGATCGTGTGTGTTTTTACTCCGGGTCCCCCCCTCCACGCATTTCCGGCACCTAACCAAATCTTGTCAGGGACATGATGTACGACCAGGGCGCCATGCCTGGTGGGCCATCTGCCGTACAAACCCGGCAGCCCACCAGCGCCGGTACCGCTGATGGCAGTGGCAGTGGCGACGGCAGCATCACCGCAGCAAACAGCGTCGCCGCTGCTGCTGCCGCCGCCGCCGCCGTGCGCGGCGGCAGCGGCAGCGGCGGCAGCAGCAGTGGCGCTGTACAGTACGGCAGGCCGGCATCGCCGCCGCCGATCCCAAACCTGCGACCATCAGTACAGGTTAGCTACTGTTGGGGCGGGGAGGCCGTACACAACCGCATTCGGGCGTGAGAGACATCGTACAAGTGTACGATTGTTAAAACCAATCATAACTGGGTTTGAAAAATATGGAATCTCGGGAATTTAAATCTGATAGATATGTGGCGGCAATTCAACCGGTTAGCTGTTGACTCTATTTAGGCAATATATTATATTTGGCGATGTTGGCTATATAAGTTTCGGCCTCAAAAAGATTGACATCATTATATAGTCTTACATAATTATCAATAGTTTTGTTGCCGCTAATAAGTCATGCGCCTATTTCACACAGACAAACATACAAATGGACACGGACACGCGATATTATGTTATCCCATATGTCTTAAGGGCGTTTCGATGGGTTGGTGGCCTTTCGGATCTCTCTCTAAAACAATGCCGATGTCGTTCGGATGCTTTCGCATGCGATGCCGTACACAGAGCGCCCTGCCGGAATGGCCGTCACCGGGGGTTTCCAGCGGCGGTGGCGGCGGCGTAACGCGCTCGGCCGATAGCGGCTCGGTGCTGGCGCCGCCGCCAACGCCGACAGACCCCCTGCCGGCGGCGCCGCAGTCGCCGCTACCGCCAAGCGGCTCCAGGGCTGCCTCCGTCACTAGCAGTACGGCGGCCGGCGGCTCGAGCAGCGGCGCGGCGCCGCCGTCGCCGCCACCGTCGGTGGCCTCGGGATCCAGGGCTTCTTCAGTTGCGGCGGCGGCGGCGGCGGTGCCGGGAGGGGGGTACCCCCCGCTGCG